AAGAACGTTTATTAAAAGACACTGGTTTTTTAACAGATAATGAGTACAAAAGACTGAGACCATTTGATTCCTACCCGGCGGCGTTTTACGGTTTGCCAAAGATACACAAGGTTCCTTTAGTCGAGCAAAATGATCATTTTACAATAGAAGCAGACACGGTAGTTCCTCTTAGACCAATAAATAGTTCAATTGGGTCTCCAACGTATGAAATCTCCAAATATTTGGGGCGCATTCTAAAATACTTGTACAATGATGTTTACACAGTTAGGAACTCTAAAGAATTTGCCAGTTTTATTTTCAATCAAAAAATTGAACCTAATGAGCGTATCGTCTCATTCGACGTAACATCTTTATTTACATCTATCCCCGTTGATTTGGCACTCCAGATTGTTAAGGAAGAGCTAAACAATACAACGACTTGGACACAGCATACTGGATTATCTGCAGATTATATCTATGGCTTGCTAAAATTTGTTTTGAACAACAGTTATTTCATGTATGAAGATTGTTATTATCAGCAAATATTTGGATGTCCCATGGGTTCGCCAGTGAGTGCGGTAATTGCAGAATTAGTTATGCAAAGAATAGAAACAACTGCCCTGCAAACATCTCCTGTTTGGGTGCGATGGTGGAAAAGATATGTAGATGATAGCAACGCCTGTGTAAAACAATCGGACATTTCAATATTTCACAATCATCTAAATACTATCAACCCACATATACAATTTACTCTTGAAATGCCTGTTGTTACAGAGAATCAGCAAACCATAGCGTTCCTGGATACCGAAATTATAACCACGACATCTGGTGATGTTAATGTTAGCGTATATCGAAAAAGTTCTCACACGGACAAATATTTGTTATATAATTCACATAGCCATGTGAATCACAAGAAAGCTGTAGTAAAAACTTTATTAGATCGCGCAAAAACTATCCCAACGAATTCCGTATTGCAAGCCCAAGAGACTGAAAATGTGATTGAAACATTAAAATTAAATGGCTATCAAAAGCGTTTCATTGAGAAAGTTGTTGCGAACAACAATCAGACTAGCACAAATGCTGAGTATGAAATTCGTGGATCGACATGCCTTCCATATGTTAACGGAGTTTCAGAAAAAGTAAAAAGTATTTTAACCAATGCAGGAGTTCGGGTCGCGTTAAAACCAGTACTAACTTTAGGGAATATTTTTCGCAAGCCCAAAGCAAGACCGTCAGAAGACAGAACAAAAGCTATTGTATACAAATACAAATGCAGAGAATGTCCATTTACATATATCGGTGAATCAAAGAGATGTTGGGCGACAAGGTGGTTAGAACACAAACCGGGAGTTAGAAAGAGAATTTTTTCGACAATAAAGGAACACGCTGAATGCACTGGTCACAACGCTGCAAAATCAGACGCTGTAATATTAGAAAAGGGAGTTAAGAACTACGAACAAAGGATTTTCTTAGAGGCTTTACATTCCACTCTTAGTGAAAACACGGCTAATGAACATGCTGAATTTCCGGCTTGTTATTCTATATTAGCAGATGAAATCAAGCGGAACGATAAACATTATATATAGAGGTGTAATGACTCTTGCCATATACTCTGATGAAGGCTTGCAGCTCGCAGCCGAAAATTTAGTTTTAATTTTACTAGTTTTTATTTTAAATAAAATGTTTTTAACCAGATCAGCTACAAACCTTAGAAAAGTTATCATATATATATATATATATATATATATATATATATATATATATATATATATATATATATATAATTAGGTTTCATTGTTTACAAAAACATTTGGCAGAGTGCTCAATGGATATCCAGAGCATAATTAAATAAGTGCAACGACGCAACAAATTCCACTAGGCATCTTTATACCTAGTGGAATTTGTTGAGTCGTTGCACTTATTTTATATATATATATATATATATATATATATATATATATATATATATATATATATATATATATATATATATATATATATATATATATATATATATATATATATATATATAATATGATATGATATGATATGAATATTATAAGTGGTCATAAGCTATGATAAGATATGACACGATATAATAAGACATGATAAGATATGATAAAATATGAAAAGATATGATATATAGGATAGTATTTGATAACAGATGATGAGACATGATAAGACCTAATAAGATATGATAAGATATTATAGGATGTGATAAGACATGATAAGATATATGATAAGACATGATAGGATATATAAGATATGATATAGGATGTGATAAAATGTGATGAGATATGATAAGAAATGACAAGATATGATAAAATTGGTTGTGGCACGGTGAATATTGCAAAGAAATGAAACATACCTAAAACCAGTGAGAGACACTGAACGGAAAGATTGAATGGTATCAAACACTGACATGATCTATGAAACAGAAGTATAAATGAAACGTTAAAAATATGGTAGTGCTATAAAACATCGAGCTAAAAGATGTGGTAATAAAAGTTAAGTTTCATGGCGAACCATGCATATCCACAAAAATCCAAGATGGTCGACAGCTCACTATATGGCACAGGGCAAAATATTTCACAAGGCAAAATATTTCATACACCACTGGCAACATTTGAAGAAGCTGTTAAATTGTTTTCCGCAAGGTTCTTTCAAATGAGATAAACTAAATCTTTGATAAAACACAAAACAATAGACACTCCGAAAATTGTAAACATCTTCATATTCTTTTGAAGATGACGACTTAATAGTCGAACGAAACGTAAAAAATGAAAACGTTTACAATTGCCGGAGTGTCTATTGTTTTGTGTTTTATTAAAATACTCTATGGCAACCGCAATTTTTGGCCTAAATCTTTAAGACTCAAGCCTTTTGCACTGATTAACCTTACCGCTTGTTCAATGGCATTTTTGGCTTTTTGATATTCTTCAGTGGCGGGATTAGAAAGTGCTGCAGTAAATACTTGGCCCACCAAACCAATTACAGCTTTGATTAACTTTGCTAAAAGAAAAGAAAAAGATACCATTCATCAGGGCCTTTTTTATACATATATAATTTCTACATATATATAAGTTTTTATATATAGAACTGGGGGGGAGCACCTCCAGCCCCCGTGGTGGTCTCTCCCCCACTTAACCATTCATAAAACGCACGATATGCAGTACTAGGAGTTTCCAATGAATCATCATCAGACTTTATTGAAATGTTGAAAGATCTATGCAGAAAGTAATTTGTTAAGAAAATTATAAGCACTAGCTTTAGTATCTTGTATCAGATCCTCCTATATATTCGGTAAACGTAACAAATAAAGGTATACCTCTAATGTCATACTAATATTTTTTATGATATATATAGAATTAAGTCAAGTAGACATTGGTAAAATCTATTATATAATAACTACAGCGAAACACGCGATTTGATTGGTCAATAGCCGTGCAGGATCAGGCTATCCTGCACGAGGAATTAAAATGCCTTCGCGGGATTTTTGCGGGATTCTCAAAATATCATTGTTTCACTGTAGTTATTTTATAAAACAATTACCTAATGGTTTTCCAAGCAGGATAACGTGATCCATGCATTTGGGATGTTGCTCGACTTTCGGAAAGCGTAAAAATACACTCGCCTGCAGCGGCTCGAGTATTTTTACGCTTTCCGAAAGTCTCGCGACATCCCTCGTGCATGGATCACGCAATCCTGAACGGAAGACCATTCGGTATTCCTTTAGTCTAAGCATGGGGGCATGAGTTTCCTATATCCAGTATTTTTATGACACTCATGATGTTATCCTGATATTGTCAGCGTGCTGATGGCATCTCAACATTGTTGAAAATTATGACATCACTAAATGCGAAATAATTCCACGCTAACAGCAGTGATACAGCTGAGTATTTTAGTCAAAACATACAACCATGCCATTCTACGATGGAATGTCTTAATATTGTTTGTCATTTTTTGGAGCATGGCAAGCATTAGACAGTAAAATACGCATTAACTATCCATGTTATAAGTAAACTGTAAGAAGCAGGGGTGGGAAACTTAGGCGGCGAGCACTGCTGGCAGAAAATGTTAATTTGAACAGCTGCAGGAAATTCGTTTGCATGAATGAAGATTTGCTATTGAAAATTTGAAGGAAACCTTAACAGCCATGTCCCACTATGGGCGCAACAACATATGGTTGACAGGCATTATTCCTTGAATTTAAAACCATGGTCAGCTAGAACACTATATATGTTTATGCACATGCAGATTTAGCACAAAAATACTCCGTTGGTCTGCAGGAAATTTTTGTCTCCAGGTTGTGCTCTCAGGAAGAAATTTTTTTATAAGTGCCCTGGTGAGATGCCTGGTCTGGTTTAGGGCTACTACATACCTGGTGTGCTTGGATCGTAAGGTTTGTTTGGTCGGGCGTCAGTCGGCTCGCTTGGTTTGGTAGCTATGAAACAAAACATTTACCATTTTTCATGGTTGCATTGTACAAAAACTACTGATATTAGATACTTTGTCAAACTATCTTATCTTAGCTTGAATGTTTCTTCCTTGAGATATTTAACAGTGTTAGATATGCAAATTATTCTCACTATATATGGCATCAAATTGCACAGTTTTTTTATTAAATCTAATAGTAATAAATCTAATACTTAATTTTTTATTTTTCAAATTTCTTAATTTTCTTAATTTCTAAATGCGACTTACGCACGTGGCCACACAATTTTGTCATGCATATCATAAGTAAGTAATAGTATGGTTTCTCGTGCAATTTGAAAAATTATACACTCGTGAGTTTTTCAAGGACTTCAATTCTGACAGTCTTTGAAAAACTCACTCGTGTATGTTTTTAATTTTCCAAATCGCACTCGAAACCATACTCAATTATCTATACAAAGCTTTGCAAATTTTAGGGTGGGGGAAGTGCATTAATTAAAAATAGTAGTATAGTAATAACGGTCTCCTACCTGAGGGCATGACACTTGGGGAGATGGGGTTAGGTGTAACACTTGGGGATAAGGGGTTAGGGGTGACACCGACATTTTCACTCGTAGGCGGGCTAAGGGTGGCGCCTGTGAGTGGGTTAAGGGTGGGTTTGGGAGATTCAGTTAGGCCACCAGAGAGGGTGTTGGGGGTCACACCAACATTTCCACTCGGAGTAGGCGGGCTAAGGGTGGCGCCTGTGAGTGGGTTAAGGGTGGGTTTGGGAGATTCAGTTAGGCCACCAGAGAGGGTGTTGGGGGTGACACCAACATTTCCACTCGGAGTAGGCGGGCTAAGGGTGGCGCCTGTGAGTGGGTTAAGGGTGGGTTTGGGAGATTCAGTTAGGCCACCAGAGAGGGTGTTGGGGGTCACACCAAGATTTCCACTCGAAGTAGGCGGGCTAAGGGTGGCGCCTGTGAGTGGATTAAGGGTGGGTTTAGGAGTTACAGGTTCAGTTAGGCCACCAGAGAGGGTGTTGGGGGTCATACCAACATTTCCACTCGGAGTAGGCGGGCTAAGGGTGGCACCTTTGAGTGGGTTGAGGGTGGGTTCAGAAGTTCCAGATTCAGTTAGGCCACCAGAGAGGGTGTTGGGGGTCACACCAAGATTTCCACTCGGAGTAGGCGGGCTAAGGGTGGCGCCTGTGAGTGGGTTAAGGGTGGGTTTAGGAGTACCAGGTTCAGTTAGGCCACCAGAGAGGGTGTTGGGGGTCTCACCAACATTTCCACTCGGAGTAGGCGGACTAAGGGTGGCGCCTGTGAGTGGGTTAAGGGTAGGTTTAGGAGTACCAGGTTCAGTTAGGCCACCAGAGAGGGTGTTGGGGGTCACACCAATATTTCCACTCGGAGCAGTCGGGCTAAGGGTGGCACCTGTGAGTGGGTTAAGGGTAGGTTTGGGAGTTCCAGGTCCAGTTTCGCCACCAGAGAGGGTGTTGGGGGTCTCACCAACATTTCCACTCGGAGTAGGCGGGCTAAGAGTGGCGCCTGTGAGTGGGTTAAGTGTGACACCCCCAGTTTCACCTGTTGTGAGAGGGTTAGGAGTTGCTGCAGGGCTAGGCAAAATGTCGGTATCTTCAGGCACCTTGGGGGTAGGGTTCAGCCCGCCGGTGCCTGGACCTGTGTCGGTTGGTGTTGTACCGGCTGCATTAATGCATTCTGTGCTGGCTGGTGCGGGCGAACCTAACAATTGTGAATAAATTAAGTATGGATGCTTGTGATGTTACTCTGACTGTATATCCACACCGGGCAGGCTTGAAAAATATGCCTGGCCACGGTGGGAATCGAACCTACGACCTTTGGAATACTAGCCCAATGCTCTGCCAACTGAGCTACGTGGTCAGGTCGGTTCGAGTATGTTATATTTCGGAACTGGTGAGTAGTTCCTTCGATATCGCTAGTATTCCAAAGGTCGTAGGTTCGATTCCCACCGTGGCCAGACATATTTTTCAAGCCTGCCCGGTGTGGATATACACTCAGAGTAACATCACAAGCATCTTAGTCACCCGAGTGCGCTACACCAACACAACAAGTATTAAGTATGGAATTAACATGTGCTACAAACGTAAAAATCTTACAACTTGTCAACAAGATGTGTTCACAGCAAGCTTGTAGCTTAAGCTTGTCAACAAGTTGCAACAATGCTGTAAAGATAGCACCTGTTAGAGACTGTAAGTGAATAACAACACCGACAACGACAAGAACATCAAAAATATCAACAACAAAAATAACAATGACATCAACATCGAGAACGACAACAGCAGCAGCAACAACAACAACAACAACAGATAAAACAAAAATAACATAACGAAAACACCATCATTACCACAAAAACAAACAACCTTTTTAAAACAGAGCAGATACTGGCATCCCGTTGTACATACCGGTCAAAGGACGTGGAACGTTCTGTTCAAATTCCCCCATCATATTTCCTGCAGGTTTGTAGCGAGCAACAACGAAACGTTTATTGGTAGAAGTAAGAGCTTCTCCGACCCCAAATTGTGCCGTTGTTTTCCAAACAACTTGAGTGAAATGACCTAAAATGACAAATTAAGTAAAAATACTAAATGGCAAAACTCATTCAAATCTTGTTGCAATAATGTTTTAAAACACTTAGGTTAGTTGTATTTTTGGTTTTATTGCGTAAAATCTTACAACAAAATTTTGAGTATATTACAGGATTTTGCAGCTGAGAATTTCGAGTGCAATCTCTCCCACAGTTTTACTCCACTATTTTGCAAGGATTTTCCACATTCAGTCTCTTTACGATATCGTGGACATACTAGATTAATGATACTGTATCGAGTACACACGCAAAAATATCACAGCTTATCAACAAGATGTGTTCGATGTGTTAGCAAGGTTGTCATTAACAAGTTGTTAACAAAGTGTTGAATTACAGGACGATAACATGTTGTTGGAACAACTTGTAACAAGTCTGTTGAGCTCAACAACCCTTACATAGCAAGATGTCAACAAGCCGTTGAGGAACAGGCTGGGAACAAGCGGTGCGAACACATCCTGTTGACAAGTTGTTGGAACAGCATTGCTATACAAGTCTGCAGCTGCAGGTTTGTTACAACTTGTGACACTTGTGCGTTTTTACGTGTGTAGCTCTATCATGTTTTCAAATGTGTATTTTCCAAGACCAATAGACCTTTTTCCTTTTGAGTGAAATTTTGATCTAGACAAGTCTGGACAAAAATTTCATCACAGCTTGAAAGAGCATCACAAAATTAGTAATATTCCGAAGTTTCGTTGCGAAATGTTGTAAAATGCGGATAATATCGCCTTGCGCGGAAGTTTGCCGTTTTTCAATCATTTTGCATTACAAACGGGAAATTGATAATCAGATGATCAAACTGATGCAAAATGTTAGATTGTAATACAAAATGACTGAAAAACGGCAAACTTCGCAAGGCTATATTATCCGCATTTTACAACATTTCGCAACGAAACTTCGGAATATTACTAATTTTGTGGTGCTCTTTCAAGCTGTGATGAAAGTTTTGTCCAGGCATATCTAGATCAACTCATAAGGGGAAAGGTCTATTACACTTACCCGTTTTGCTGTTAAATCCAGGGTTGTTGAAGTCGTATTCCGCTATTTCATCATACCACTCATCGACGGCTTTAACGCACGTGCCTTTTCTATCTTTCGGCAGTGGCGCGGTGCCATACGCCACGTAGAGATTTTCACCGTAACTTGACTTCCCATGTTTTATATTTACGCTGTCAGCTGCCGCAAGTTCATTGGCAAATTCCTGTGAAGAAAATGAGGGTTAAGGCGCTGTTACGATCCTAGTACGCCAGGTATACACGGCTAAAAACGCACAGGTTGTTGCAAGTTGATATCGACAGGCGTGAACAATGTTGTGCGGCCAACTATGAACAAGTTGGCAACCATGTTGTTCCAAGTTGTTGCAGTTGAACAATGCTGTAACAACATGTTGACAATACTGTTCATAGTGCGCTGCACAACCTTGTTCGCGCCTGTCGATATCAACTTGCAAAAAGTTGTTTATTTTCTCAATTTTTACGCGTGCATGTAGCCCTAAACCAGAAAATGCTTTTGAAGCACTTTATGTCATATTTCAAGTCCGACTATGAGGACTGGACTATAGATTTGAAGTCCGCGCAATTTGATCAAGAATATGACATCTTATACGAATAAATCACTACTTAAAGTCACGTGAATTACGGACCAAGGACTGAATTAATTTTGGTCCTAGAACTGGATCAATATACTTCACCTGGTATCCAGTGTTATCATGTCAGCAAAACAAAGCAATATGGTTGGCTAATTTACTCATGAATTATTAATCTATTTGAGATAGCAGGTTCTTTTACTGGGTTAAAATCATTCACATTTAAAAGCTTTTATTAATGAAATGTAATTGTTTGTATAAGAAAAATTAATCTTAAAGTCTGGTTCCCTCTGAAAATAAGTTTGTTTCTTCGAATCTCAATGTTTTCCTCGACGTCTTCTCGGAACTCATTGAATCTCTCGGCACAACAAAACTAACTATTTCCCTCACAGACATTAAACAGTGAGTGTTGACGAGTTACGGGCTTCTTAAATACCCAAGGGATGACGTCACCTGCCAATGAGATGCATATAGTCCTCTGGCAAACAGGCACCGTCATGAATAGGGATGACGGTGCCTATTTGCCAGAGGAATATATGCATCTCATTGGCAGGTGCCGTCATCCCTTGGGTATTTAAGAAGCCACGATTGCAATTTTAGATCACTCTTGATGAAGACACTAGACTGGAGTGTCGAAACGTTGGGTCTTAATTACAATTCGACTGGGCTTTGTAATCATTTAAACCAGACTAGCGAGCGGAACATGATTGATATACCTGGTTGCAGTGAACGAACAAAATTTAAATTTTGAAGTATGTTTTAACTTAAATAGAATCACAAAAGGGTTGGGAAAGAGTTAAGAACAGCTAACCAAAGTCGCGTGACCATACTCACTCGAATGCATTCTCACCCTCGTGATCCAGGCTTAAGTGTGTATTACAGTAATACTACCTGTGCTGAAGCTGCAATTTCCGCTGACCATATCAAGGGAGTAGTTCCATGAGCTTTTCGCTTTTGATTATGCGCACATACACATTCGTTTTGGTAGGCGTCACCAGTATCTGTGGTGCTTGTAGCAGTATTCCCAGTAGAATCTGGTGTGGTGCTTGTGGTACCAGTGGGTTCACCTAGGGTGGTAAGTGTGTATGTGGGTGTGTGGTAATCATCCTCACTTGCATTTGAGAGTAAACCTGAATTGGACCTTTAACCTTATAACTAAAATTTTGATCTAGACAAGTCTAGACAAAAACTTCATCACAGCTTGAAAGAGCATCACAAAATTAGTAATATTCCAAAGTTTCGTTGCGAAATGTTGTAAAATGCGTAGAATATAGCCTTGCGAAGTTTGCCGTTTTTCAGTCATTTTGTATTACGCATGATAGCCCAATCGGGTGTTGGGGCATCAATTTCCCGTTTGTAATGCAAAATTGCTGAAAATTGCAAATTTCGCAGGGCTATATTATCCGCATTTTACAACATTTCGCAACGAAACTTCGGAATATTACTAATTTTGTGATGCTCTTTCAAGCTGTGATAGATCAAAATGTCTAGATCAAAATTTTAGTTATAAGGTTAAAGGTACATTGGGGAAGGACGCAGCTCAACCTGAAAGGAAGCCACTGTATGGGTCCTTATGACTCACGGAGCACAGGTATGGTGGAAGGGGTAATCGCAACCCACCCTGTCAACATTCCCTGTAGAGGGTTGACTGATTCTTTTCACATATTAAGAATCATGCGTCCGCCGCGGTAATCGAACCGTTGTGATACCGTGGATAGTGCAAGGATATTCACCTCAAATCTTCGCGTTTCGGTTAATATTCTTGCACTATTCACTATCACCACGGCGAATAATTATCAGTTATTATTACGTGGTAGTAGTATAGACTCACCAGGTAGATTGCTAGTTGTATCAGTATCCGTTGGGGTGATAATATCTGTGCCTGTATCTGCTGGTTTTGTACCAGTTGTGGTGGTGGTATCTGTACCAGCTGATTCGTTAGGTGTAATAACGTTAGTACCAGCGCCTTCTGGTGTGATTCCAGTTGATTCTTCTGGTTTTGTCCCTGTCTGTTCACTGCCTTCTTGGGTTGGAGGTTTGCTTTCTGGAATTAAAAATTGACCTTTATTTAACCCTAATACTTGAGTTTGGTACAAGCAGTACTGAGTTGTGCATATTTTCCTCTGTCAATGGCGGGCATTGTCAAAGAAAGCTCCTTCCACCTCTGAGATCGTGGGTTCAATTCTCGTTTTGTTATGGTACATGCCAAAACAGTTATTCACCTGGGTAGTGCAAGGATATTCACCTCAGTTCTTCGCGTTTCGGAGAATACCCTTGCATTCGGTATGTAATAAGAATTGTTATTACGCGAGGAAGCAGTGTAAACTCACCAGGTAGATTGCCAGTTGTATCAGTATTCGTTGGAGTGATAACATCTGTGCCTGTATCTCCTGGTTTTGTACCAGTTGTGTCTGTACCAGCTGATTCGTTAGGTGTAATAACGTTAGTACCAGCGCCTTCTGGTTTTGTCCCTGTCTGTTTACTGCCTTCTTGGGTTGGAGGTTTGCTTTCTGGAATTCAAAATTGACCTTTATTTAACCTAATATTTGGTTTCGGTGAACCAGTGTTCAGAGAAAGCTCCTTTCACCTGGCTAAAACCGTTGGTCCGATTCTCGTTTTGTTATGGTACATGCTAAAACAATTATTCACCTCAGTGTCGGTAAATAGTGCAGGGATATTCACCTCAACTTCGGTATATAATTATCACTTATTTACTGAGACCGAGGGAAACAGTGTGTTTTGTGGACCCACAAAACACACTGCTTTCCCGAAGTCTCAGTAAATAGGTGTTTTATTATATATCAATAGTCAAAGAAACAACAAATTAAAGAACAAATGAACGTAAATACATGAAATATTTTATTGTTAAAACGTTATATTAATTAAACACTGGCTACACTGCAGTTACTTAAAGCGAAAGTTTTAATTACGTACTAGGCATGTCCAAAGGTCGCATCTTCACGTGATGGCGCACGTGATTTTTTTTGTTATTCGCCGGTCGATAACGTATTATCTCCCTCTCACGCTGTTGCGAGGGAGACAGCCTAATTTCCTCACTCTCACGTGATATGCTCTCAACCAATAAAACACTAGAAAAATGCGACTTTGACTATTGATATATAATAATACATTTTATTTCACTTACCCCCCACGAAAACACGATTTCAGCCATATTTTGCCGTCTGTTTGCTTTTTATCGCCGAATCTGGCAAATATTATCCAGTTGTTGTACTTTTACATAATCATGAATGGCTGAAGAAGATTTCCAAGAAGGTTTCATCAAGTTTGGAAAAAGTGCAGTGTATTTTATCTTCGATATTGTGTCGTTCGATATTTCGTGAAATATGGCGCCATTGCAATGGCGCGCCGCTTCTCTGCCGGATAAATGCCACTTCTACGTCTTCCTATGTATTTAGATTACAGTATCCAGAAGTAAATCATTGTAGAATAGTCCCAATTGAAAAATTGAAAACATTACTTGTATTTGAAAGGAGAAAACCTCCCAATACAGTTGTCTTGTCAGAATTCAAAAGAAGTGATTTAAAAGTCACTGTGGGCTACGTAACGGGGGGCGGTGAATATTTTCACGAAACGTTTGTTCGCCACCACAGAAACCTAACTAAATACACTATATTTATTGAATGTTTATGATTGATGATAAAAATATGCAAATATTTATTGTTTTTATCATCAATCATAAACATTCAATAAATATAGTGTATTTAGTTAGGTTTCTGTGGTGGCGAACGAACGTTTCGTGAAAATATTCACCCCCCCCCCGGTCATGTAGCCCACGAGGAGTATTCACGAACTTGCGCGTGACTTTTAAATTGCTTCTTTTGAATTCTGACAAGACAACTGTATTGGGAGGTTTTCTCCTTTCAAACACAATGTTTTCAATTTTTCGATTGGGACTATTCTACAATGAATTACTTCTGGATACTGTAATCTAAATACATAGGAAGACGAAGAAGTGGCATTTATCGGGCAGAGAAGCGGCGAGCCATTGCAATGGCGCCATATTTCATGAAATATCGAAGGACACAATATCGAAGATAAAATACACTGCACTTTTTTCCAAACTTGATGAAACCTTCTTCGAAATCTTCTTCAGCCATTCGTGATTATGTAAAAGTACAACAACTGGATGATATTTGCCAGATTCGGCGATAAAAAGCAAACAAGACGGCAAAATATGACTGAAATCGTGTTTTCGTGGGGGGTAAGTGAAATAAAATGTATTAATGAAAATAATGACAATCCTTATGAAATCCACAATAATTATATTAAATTGAGCATAGTTTTTCACCACATGATAATTTTTTTTAGGAAATAAGAAAATTTAATTTCTGCCAGGCATATTAGTTATTTTGTGCATAATTAGCAATTTACCTGGGGGGGGGGGAGTGCATGGTCATTTTCTTGTAAAATATTATACTTAGACAAATTTTTTCTTCCAATGACCACCCCTAAAACCAACCCTTCTGAACACTATAAGCACTTCAGAAAGGCTATTGCTTTTCCTTTTCGGAAGTTAGAGCTATGTCGACACTGCCGTTTCAGGGCGGGGCCATTTTCAGGACTTTCGTCCCGGATTCAGGTTTTGGCACATATGCCATGTTGACTGCCATGATCATCACCCTAAAACAGTTGAGATTACCTGTGCTAAATGAAACGCATATAAACTCATATACAGGTCCTAGACTAGAAGGCCGAGGGACGCTTCTGAGACCGAGGGAAAATATTTTTAGTATGGACCGACCTAAACGGTAAAAAACGTGTTTATTTTTTTATTTGATGGTTCACGGTTATAATGAAATTCCGATAAAATTCCGGTTGCGAAGTACATTTGAGATCAGTTGCGTTACTGACTTACTTTAGTGCAAGCATGGCTGACAAACTGCTAAAACGACGGATAAAAAGCTTTTAGTTTAATTGCAGTAGATGATTTTCTGCTCAACAAGAAAACAGAAGGTAAATAAACTTCCCAATTCGTTTTGCAGTATGGACATGCTTGAAAAATGCTTTTTGACCGACAAATACAAGTTTTAGTTGCCGAAAAACAATTTGTTCATTACAACATTTATATATTAAAAACAATTTTGACCGAAATAAGCCGAGGGATAGTCTTTAAACTGCCATTTAAGGTATTTTTTTAAAATTTTATGTTTAAATTAAGACAAGTTGTACGTTGTACTATTTATATATTTATACGTGTATTTTCGAAGAATAGTTGGATATATGTGGAACATTTGAATCAAAACATGTAGCACTGGCCAGTGTTTTTCGATCTTTATATTTGTTTTTTCGCAGTTTGGTAGGAGTGAAGTACATTTCGGGCTTGGCACTATATGCACTGAAGTCAATTCACTGTATTTTACTGTCTTTAATATCGATATGATGAATTTTTAAACTTTTTGGGTAGTGTTTTGAGTTTGAAAATTGCCTTCACTCCTCGGTTTGTCACTAAAAAATAACTCTTTTGGACCACGGTCAAGACATAGTAAAAAGCTGCCCGCTGCTGCAGCCAATCAGATTGCAGGAAATAAAAAATAAAGTTAAATAATACCGTTAATTCTATTGGTTAGAAATTCCTTGCACAACAGACTTGTCTACTGTTTATTGCACTTTTGCTCCTGACCTGTTTTAGCATGACAGGTGCACATGAAGTTTTACATATCCCCATATTTCGTTTTGATCTAGAGTAGTCATGCAGAAACCTATCCTTAAACCTAATGTACACGAAAGATGAGGAAATAGTCACACCAAAACAGGGTCATTGGGGTAAGAGTACAATGAACCGTACACCTTATTTGTTTACAGTTTCTACATAAATGCAGTTGCATGATCAATGCATGGAAAATCCAGATCCTATATATAGTAGGCAATCACTGATATTACACCGGAAAAATAACTTAATTTCAACTGTCCTGAGGCTAAAATTAAGATTTAACCTTAGGACAGGATCTGACTATGATAAGAAATGTCTATAGTGGATATTCATTTTCACGAATTTGATCTGATTTTGGTTTCAATAATATAAAATATCAGTCGTGATAATGATTGGGTGTATATCGACCATTAGATCTTTGAAAGTATGTGGTTCGTAGCTACATCACATCACTATTGCCATGTGAATAAAATTGACAAAGAATTTTCCATGTTTGGAAATCAAATTCCATCCAACTATGCGAAAACCTCTTTGTCCTGGACACTGGTTGCAACTCATACACCTATGGGTGGATTGCAACCAATCTCTCAAGGGCGGATTTTCATTTTTTTAACAGGAGGGGTAGAAGAATTTTTAGTGGGGTGCATGGCTGCGACCGGCAACCGCTGCAGGCAGCGATAGGCTGTAAATGCAGCCACCAGCAGGTGACTAGCTGGAGGATAAAAAATAATTTTTTGGTTAAAATAAGATTACTGTAGAGTTAATTTAGACATTTTAGTGATTTTATTATTTTAGCGATTTTATCAAAAAATTTCAACTTTCACCAAATAGTTTTTGTATTTGGTGCTAACTGCTAACAATTTGAAGTTACTTTCTGAGGCAAATTATATGTTAATTCTTCTGTTGCAAATTGATGCCCACTTTTTGATGAGAGTATCAATGTCCAAGTTCAGTGCAATATCTCTGTTAAGTGTTATGCACATCAAATCACTTAATCTTTCAGAGGTCAGAGATGACCTCAGCTTCGTACATATGCGGTTCATAGCCGAGAATGCTCTTTCTACACTCGCAGAGGATGTTGATAGAGTCTTTTTTACATTAATCAGCTTCATTAGGTTTTCCATTCCTCTTCTCCGAATAGGCAAGCCGAGAGAAATTTCATATTTTGCTTTCCTTGCTTCGGTTTTCAATAAGGTTCTATTGACATTCAATCAATCAAAATGGTCTACCATATACAGAAGTTTTTCAAAATCTAAAAAGTTTTCTGAAGCAGCGTCAAATGCTTCACAAGCTTTCAAGATATTAGCATTCTTAGCATCAAATCGCACTTTGAACACCTCCTCCAATTTAGCCTGCCTATAACTGTTAAGTGCATTAATAGAATTTTTTAGTTGAGCTTCAATTTCTTCCTCACTTCTTTCAAAGCCCCCTGATCGAGTATTGTGTATTTTATTATCCAGCACCAATGGAATGCCCATTTTCTTGGAACATTCTCCAGCAGCCTCACAAATAGCTTCCTCCGTAACTTCCTTTAACCCAAATCTTGTTCCCGTAACGCAGTACTGCACCTCCGTCCAATTGATATCCACAGCTTGTAGTTCTTTAGGGGCCATTCACAAAGGATGTCCGAGCCAAGGGGGGGGGACCACAAACTCGGACATAGGAGGGGGGGGGTAGCAATCCGGATATCCGAAATTTTAAAAAATTCTTTTCCCTCTATTTTGAGCAGTCCTTCTCATTGTGAAATTGGCATTTTGACTGTGCGATTAACACTAGATTTTGTTTTAATTAGTAATTTATATGTTTTTGTATTCAAATTTATAGTTATAAAAAAGTTCTAAAAGTAAAAAAAGTTTTTTACTCTTGACATATACAAGGTTGTGTGAGTTTTTGCGAGGCATGGTGGATGTCCGGGTGGAGGGGGGGGTCACTAATTCGGACAATGCCGGACAAGGGGGGAGAGGGGGGGGTCTGAAAATCCATCATTTGGCCGGACATCCTTTGTGAATGGCCCCTTAGATAAATTGTCTAACGCAGCTAAAAACAATTGCAACGTCACCAAGGCTATAACAATGGATTTACCACTCATCAATTTGTGATAAAATCATGCGGCTTCCTCTGCATGCTTAGCTCCATGTACTGCTCCATTGTTGCTTACTTGAGCCAAAGTTGCGAGTATACATTCAGGCTTTTCTGCAACAAAATCAACCGCTTCAAATTTGCAAGACCACCTCACCTCGAATTGTTGAGTTAAGTATTTAGTTTGCGTTTTCGGAAACATTTCTTGGAATATTTTCTGGTATACAGGTCTCACTTTACCAATATTCAGAAAGGAATACAAGCGGGTAACAGCAGCCAGAACGTCGACAGCCAATGGAGAATCTTTTACCAAGTCATTCACAATCAAATTTAACCTGTGTGCGATACAATGAATGTAGAGAATCCACGGAAAATGCTGTGATCTTAAAATCTCACCCACACCAGCATACTCCCCACTCATCACACTTGCTCCATCTGCACCAAGACTAATGACAACAGATCCCTCTGAATGCTGTGTAATGAATTCTATTAAGTCTTTCGTATGAGCAGCTATTGTCTGTGCATCAAATTCGGTCAGATGTTTAATCTCAATAAATCGCTCTACCACTTTTTCACTATAATAGCGCACAGCAAGTGCTAGCTCTTCCTTGTTGCCTTTATCCTTACTCTCGTCAATAAGGACTGAATACATTCCACAGTTTGCAATATCTGAATAAATTGCATCACGTACACCATTGGCCACAGCTGTCACAAATCCATTGAAAGATGTTTTTGAGGTGTAATCTGTACTTCGAGATTTGGTGACCTTCTCATGTAACTCCTGAAAACTTGGATTTGTCTCTAATTGTAGCTTAATAAATGACAGCCAATTTCCCTGTTTCTCTGATTCTTCTGTCTCATCATGACCTCTGGTTGCTACACTATTTGTCGTAAACCACAATACATACTTGAACAAAATTCTAAGATAGTCTTTGTTTTCTTTTGCTATTTCATTCGCATTAGGGCATAGCTTGTCTGCAATGTTTTTCAGGGCCCCTGATTCTATCATCTTCTTTCTATTCCATGCATCGTAGCTAAACTGGTGTGATTCAGAAGACTCATGTTTACCATATCCCTTTCCACTTTCCATAACATTGCTCCAATTTCTGAAACCAGTTGTCACAAATGGTGAAGAATTTCCTGTTTTT